CATTCTGCATCAACCAGCTCCTCCTCGCCGAGGACAGGCTTCAATTCGTTATAAATTTGATTTCAGCATTATATGAGGACAAAATATGCATGAAGTTTAAACGATATGGCAAAAACACGAAAACTCTTACGGGTGCTTTGCTCGAATACAACACGTTTCATTGAGCGGTGTCTGCAGCTTCTGAAATTTTCTTCTCATTTCGTGGCTGATAATAAAGTTTGCCTTACTGTGAAGTTTGAGGCGATGATGTCATGTCATGAATGTGCAGGTTTGAACAAAATGCCTGCAAAATCCAAATAACGCGCAGAGGAACTCCGTAGAAAGATGGTATAATGATACACGTTCTGACCGTAGATCTGATCTTCACAACTACCGTAGCCACTACGTGCCTTCACTCCACGATATTTCTGCTTTTCTTTTGATTCCGTACTGTGGTCATTGGTCGGTTTTTACTATAGTGTTGACGGAGCCGGATTATAGACGGTTCGATGTTGGAAGTTGGCCTCAGGGTCACATACGGAATGATTTTATTTGTTTTCGGGAAGGGGTGGCTTCCATAGCGGTTGAGATTGAAACATGCAGGATGGTTCCGGGTCGTTTTGTATAAATTCCGATCTGAGAGCCTCTCGGATGACAGCCGCATGGCCAGCGTATAAAGAGGAAGAACAAAATGATAGCAGATCTTTCTCAAAAGAATAGTTCCTTCTGCGATTCAATCTCCTCGAAAAGGTAGCGTGTTTGAAATAAAGAATTAGCTTGGGTATCGTGCCCATTACAAGTGCTCAAATACCATTGAGCCGTGGCCAGCAAAAGTGGTCGAGCTAAGCGTCTATAATTAAGATTAAAGTTTCCTATAGAGTTTAATGATTTTCATTATTTTTACACAATTGAATACGGTACGCCAATCCTTATGTGAAAAATGACATGATGCTTTGGTACGCTATGGAGGAGGACAACGCATAAAATATTCTTACCATGGCTAATAATTAAAAATTGACGAGAGAATGTAACGAGATAGCAATTCCAAGCCACGTCATTACTAGGTATTCCAAGATGGTCAGATTATTGTATCTTTGTCTGTATGAGATAGCTAGAGTTCGTTTTGTCGTCATTAAATGCTACGACTGCAAACAGCAGAGTACCATTGGGACCGGTACTTCTGATTCATAATAGGTCACGTCCACGGATACGACAAAGATCATATTTTTGCTCGTAAGCAGATGTACCTCAACGAGGCTTTCACGTTTAATATTTTCCTTAAATGGGTCTGTACTCAGTGCAGTTTTTTCTTCAAGCGATTTAATGTCTATTCGCTCATTTTGCGTTTGATGAAATTACATTATGCGTCAGTTTCTAACTTCCCTGGATAGTTTTCTGAGACGAGTGGTCATCAACACCCTCCCGCTCATAACCTGGTGGTATGTTGATGATACTCCGTATACATCGTTGCTGGAAACTGTCAATCAGAATTACAGATCGACTATTATTTGCTAAGGACTACCGTCGATGCTTTAAGGATGGTCTATGGCCTGATTGCATTCGTCATTGTGGTAGCGGTTATTGGAGCTGCAATTGCGGTCATATGCTATCAGAGAAGTCGTTCGAAAGCGAAGAAAGACGCGTTGTACGAATCTTACGCCAGAAGCCAACTTACGCCTTACCCTTATTACGGGTACGACAACGATCGCGCTTCCCGCATTGGGCCTTTGTATTGAAGATTATTATACGCGGTGTACTTACGCCATTCTTATTCCTCAATCACTTATAAAATATTTCAATAAATCGTTATTAACAACAATGACATTTCTTAATTAAAACAACAATCTGTACATCAAGCAACAAAAGAATAAACTACGACACGGGAGCCGTGGATCTCCTTCGTTTATGAAACAGTGGCGGTTCTTCGTCGCCTAAGTGCAAATCAGTGATCTTTGTTCTGAAGTACTGTTCTAGCCGATCCCCGCACTGAAACACCACAGCTGATGGATCATTGTACGTTCTACAATTGTCGAACATCAGAGTTACATCAGCCAATAGTTCATCGACCGATATATAACTGTGCTTGTCAAGTTTGTATTGAACGGTCCGCAAATCCATCGGGCACTTGATAATGTCATAATAATCAGGTGCCTGAAACATAATTTAAACTGAATTAATATATCAATAATTCACAATCATAAAAAATACTAATAATAAAGTTCGGAAATGAATATACATCAAAATATTAAATTCGGAATATTACCCTTATGCAAAATTAATACGCCTTCAACAGAAAATCTGCACTTAAAGAAGAATAACGGTCAACATCAAGATCTCTACTACTACGTTATATTTTGTTGCATGGATCAGCAACAGCAGCCGTTACGTGAACACAGACAAACAACGTTAGGCACAGAAGAGCTATGTGAAAAACAACTAGTGCGACCGTACCCACAACATGTTCTTAATCAGATCAATCGGACCTACATATCTGAAACAAGTGGAAACGAGAGGATGGCACGGTTCGATCACCTGCAGAAAGGTAGCCAAACTACTCTGGCTCGTAAGATACTTACATTAGAGTCGAAACATTGACGAAAACATATAAGTGTCAAGCATAATAAGTAGAACAAGAAATTAATGATGATCTGTCGTCGACAACAGTTGTTGTCGAAACAGAACATATCTCCTAACAATACAATGAATTTCAAACAAGCTCCAGGGTTTTGCAACGCGACAAAACAAAATAACTCCAGCTTACTGTTCACATCTGATGAATTCAGGCTACAGGTGCCAATGAACGGCAAGCAAATCTGGTCGTAAAAACTAGCAGCTAGTTTAATATCGCTACGTCTACACGTGGAAAGAAAACAGATGACGAACACTAGCGATTACTTGGTTCTTGGCATTTATTATTCAGGTACCTGAGGACGGTGGTACAATCGCAAGAGGTACACCTCTAAGTCCGGATTTGCCTGATTCGAATTCTGAGAATGGTAAACCATTTCTCTAAATCACTAATTCACTTGAACAAGGAATTCAACGCATATTAACGGCGCGCAAACAGTTCAAAAACGCAAAGCAGATCATTAACTAGTGAAGTTGCGAACAACAGGGACTGTATGACGTTCTGGTGTGGAGAAAAAAGAACAGTGGTGAGGAACGACAGTGCTTTCAAGTAAATACGCTATTTACGGGTGCAGTTCACCTTGACCACCTGATAAACGATTATTCGCTGTGATAATCAGCACAAGTTGTAAACTAAAAAAATGGATATTCTTGGTCATTGGTATCAAAATGGATAGCATCGTTTCACCAGGAACTCTACAAATGGACAATACCACCAGAGGCCACTTTTCACGAAAATGTAAGGGAGTATGACAGTACAGAATTTACGAAGTCTTCCTTAAACTGCTTTCGACACTGCTAAAAAAGCTCGACATGAAATGACAACAAAACTTCGTCATGGTCAAAACGGGGCGTCGTAAGCAGTGCGAATCCCAAGTAATGGATTTTCTAGAATTTTCTGAACATTTAGTTCATGGAGGTAGGAACAGCTGACTTTAATGACAGGCGTACCACAAATGACAACATAAAATAATCAGCAGCAGTGAACAATGCGCAGACCCGAAATCGTTGTTAAGGTATCTGTGAAGCGAACTGAAATATTAATAAGTAAAATTTAAACAAAAACATTTTACGCGCATATTACCTGGCATTGATTGGGCTACTGGTATTCAAACATCAGCGAAGATCGCAGGCCAGTTTAAAGCCGGTCACATGCCAGAACGGACTGCATGTAAGGCTTGACAATTGTCATTAAAACTGTAATGGAAGCTCTGACAAAGTTTCGCTATTTCGAGCAATTAAGCATATCTAAACCACAAGAGAGCAAAATATTCTAGATATTCCAATAACGGGAAAACGGCGATCGATGATCCATTTTCCTTTTCAGTATAAACAAAGCGAGAGCACTCTAACATACACCTTTACACTTAAAATTTCATCTTATACTCGTCAATCGATTTTTGTCCATATCAGGAAAGGCATACGTCATAAGGCTTTAAGCAGCTGTGCAGATGATGCACTACTCAGAGTCGAAACCAAGAGTTTCATCTATATGTATAAAAAATAGATAGGCTAAATATGTAACTAATGCTATATTTAGACGCACCCAATTATTTCCATGCTTATTCTTAGTCTTATTTCATATTCGATACTGTAGATGTACCAGAGGAAAAAAAGACTACGGCTTACGGAATACATTTTATAGCAAAATCAATCCTCAGAAAATGCATCATATAAGAAAGACTTTGAAAAGGAAAAATGCAGTATAAAAAATCATTTGCAAATAAATGCGATTGCACACACGGTGAAAACACCTGCATATCTAAAGAAATACACAGCTGAACACAGAGGAGTTATTAAAAGCCAAAAGGAAAATTACTCATGTTTTCTTGCCAGACTTAAAAAACGCTCATTATTATAACAACAGTGATGTAAACCTAGTCGATCGACACAAACCCAGAATGAAACTATTAATCAAGGAGTCACTTAACATCGCATGGAACCAAAAAAGAACAAGTAACGGCTGCATGAGCTGTTAGGACATTTCAACAAGAGGGAACTAAATCAACTGCTTACCAAAACACTAACTGACATCATCCGTAGCTGATTTTTTTTGAAGAAGATGAAGATGAATCGCTGATGCCATTTCGGTGAGCGTAAGATCAGCCCCAATTAAAGTTTTGGTTTACCTTTTTGCTGTCAGCTATAGAATCAGATGGAGTAGACACTTCCAATGATTCATGACGCGGTATTGTTAGTAGTTAAACAAACTACCTCTAATATAATTGAGCATGGACATGAAGAACAATGTGCGATTGACAACCTACACAGTATCGATAGCAACAACATAAAAATCTTTGACGGTGACAACAAAATTTTCATGAAATTTAATCATAAAAATTTAGTTTCTACAATACATTTGCTGTATATTGCGTTTGTATACGTAACCTTTTTTTTGCCTTCTCGTCTTTCATTTCTTGTACCTTCCATATTCTTCCACGTTATTTTTATTCATTATCACATATTTCTTCGTTATGATGTCTTAATTATTTACCTGCTGACTTTTGGTATGAGTATCAACAGTATTCTCTCTGTATATCACTAAATTGTGCTTAAGAAGCAACACCGTTTTGGGTTTGAAAGCCTCGTCAGCGTATTAAATAAATTTTTCCAGACTTATAACCGTCGCTTTCGTTATCATAAATCATTAAGTTTGCGTGAATTACGAATTCGCTATATGTATTTCGATAAGAATAGATAAAATAACGGAAAACGCTCACTATTCGCTTAGAGACCGGTTTCAAAAATGGCCAAGAATCCCTATGACAGCTCAGAAGTCGGATCAATTCTTGACATCGTTCGTCGGCTGTCGGCTCAGAAGCATACTGAGATCGCTTTGCAGACCGACCCTTCGTCGGCCATTCACTGACATACAGGTCTCCGTTTTGATGCGTCGCTGGCAACGACTTGCGTTTTTCCACCGAACGACTTAGAGTCTCTTTCTTGAATACGCCGTTGAACCTGAAACCCGTAAATAACATTGGTGAACCGTCGCATGGAAAAAGTGAACTGTCGTTCGTTACCTATTTTCAAACTCGCCAAGAGAACGTGGTTTCTTGATGATGCGACCGGAACGCGACGTTTTCAGACATTTTCGATCAGTTTTCTCGTCGTCCTTGTGATAGACGTTACTCAGTCCATCTTCCGAACAAACGGAACAAAGCCACTGCTGACCGGGGGCACCTGCCTTTTTCAAACCAAGACATCGCAGATGAAAAGCGGTACCGCAAGAAGAGCACGCCGTACCCGACTTGTCGTTGATGACCAGCTGCTGGCATACGCGGCACACCAGACCATCGTTTCTAAAATACGCAACGCAGCGGCGTAAGCGTGAGTTAGCTGAATCGATCAACGAAAGAAATTACGAGTTTTCGGTCGAAGATTCGACGTCAGCGTTAAAACAATCGTTCTCCGCCTTTAACTGAAGCGAGTGATCAAAGTTGACTTCCAGGCAATTTGCACCGTTCAGTGCCAGTCGGCCGCAATCCGTGTCATTATCATTAATATCATCGTCCACCTGTTTGCCACCGTCGTGGTACGAACAGGTGCTGCAGAGCCAATCGGGAGACATCGTCGGCTGGCGGCCTCTGATTGACGGTCGGACGCACTTAGCGTGAAACGGTTTTTCGCAGTTGGCACAAACGACAAACGATGGTGCGGTGCCTTTTCGCCGGCAGATGCGACAGCGCGCATTCGACAACGATTTCTTCCAAGCAATTTGCTCATCCAACGTCATGAGGTGCAGTTGGATGGCGGAAATCGACGAGACGCAAAGTAACGAATTCTTCCAGAGATCAAGAAAGCCTGAAGCAACAGAACACACTTCACACAAAAACAAACAACAGCAAAAGACGTCATCGACCGAATGTACCTTTGTTGTCGTCGCCTACGGAAGCGCTTTTAGCCACTTCCTCCGTAGCGACCTCCTTGAAGTTTCGTTCATGAATACACGAGGCCAGCTGATACAGAGCCATGACAAAAAAGTTCTCTACCCTGACCAGCTTGCCATCGGTCATTAGGTTGTTAGCATCCGCGCGATTTTTTAAATCCGTAACCCGACTGCATTTCAGAACCGCGGAGCGCCACGATGTTCTGGATGGTGTCTAGAACAGAATAACAGAATCATCGTAACCTTTCTTTTGAAGAAAGTATAGAATCACATTTTACGCAAAAGAGCATTCATTCACAATGAAATGCAGTTATAAAAGAAACAGTACATGCGATGACCGTTTATCGAAAATCTGCACCAGGTTCACAGCTGACTGAAAAAGAGATGAGTGCCGCTGGAAATATCGATGCATCGGAGGAGGCTGTGCGAATGCCCTATCATACTTAATCATTCATCGTAAAGATTTCACAGAAGCATTTCATTTCTCAAAACTGCCAAAGAAATACGACACCGATTCACTATACATTCAATTTCACTGAGGTTGGGTTCGATTTCAGTTAGGAGTACGGTTTTTCTGCGAAAGCTCTATACAACGAAACAGAATAGAAACATTTCTGGCATGTTCGATACGTGGACGACTTTTACCAGAATATCGAGCGCCCTCGTGTTTCCATCATCTTATATCCATAATTAACGTGTCTGTACTCGACGGAAAATAACTCCCATTGGGACCGGAAGGCAACTTTCTACAGAGAAACAGTATACGGATACCATTAATATATTCATAAATAAAGCAGTCTCAAGTAATACATAAAAACACTATAATAAGTACCATAATGTGAAGCAAGGACAAGAATGAATAATAAAATTCAGAGTTGGCATTACGGACAATGCGAAAACTATACGATTTCAAATCAGAAAGCATTCGGATTACATGCCTTACGTCTTTCTATGACATTCGTCAAACCGGACGACTCTCGCTATTCTTGACAGAAAGCGATTAGTAATAGAACTGTTGCACACAATAACAAATGAAAGCCATTAAAAGCTGCGTAGTGAATTAGCTCTCATTAAAAGCGTAACGACTAAAACGGCGTCGAAATACAACATTTTTACGAAATGAAATCAAAGAATAGATAAAAGGAAAAATCATAAAAGATTGCAGATAAAATGGCACCTGCAAAGAAAGAAATAAAACAGACCAAATGCATAAGAAAGAAAACATGTGGAAAAGAGGCAGAACAGTCAGCACAGAGGAAAGCAGGAATATGTAAACAAAGGAAAACATTCCGGAGTTTCAGTTCAGCATAGCTCGCTTTACAATAACATAACAATTGATAACGTAAGCACACCTGAGTTTTCATGGTTTTTAATAATTCCAATTCCCAAAGTTTGCATTACAAGTCATCATCGCTGTACCAGTTTAACTACGTCTTCCAAACGGAGAACAACAACGCCAAAGTCAAACTCGCTTAATGCACCCCAGAGGTGACTAGCCAACTTATGACAAAAAGTCGTTACCGAGCCTGTTTCAAGATTCGACAAGGATTAGGCATTTCATAACTTCAAACTAAATTACAAAATAAAATATCGATCGAAATATATATTTCATTATGATCATCATCAGCCCTTTTCGACCCATTGCTGCATGAAAGCTTTTCCAAAAATTCGCCATGGATTTCTGTCCTCTGTCAGTTTCATAAATCTTAATTAGGTGATCTTCTTCATCTCACCCTGCCTTGATCAGTAGGCCTTCCTACAGGTTGTTCACCCTTTCTGGAATACAATAACGTCTTTCTAGTCCAACGATGGTCAGTTCATTTTGTAATGTGGAACGGACAGCGTATTACCACTTTAATTTTTTCTACTTCCCGGCAATGGCATCGCAGACTCTTATCTACTCATTCATTTTTCTACCTTTTCTAATTATTCCCAACATACATATTTCAATGCTGCGTTGCGTAAGGTTGCAATTTAGAGCTCACGTCTCGCACTCACATCTTATCATTGGGAGCACATACTGATCGAATACTTTCTATTTCAAGTAAAAGAACAGATTTCCGTTGAAGAACACTTTCAATCTTCCAAAAGTGCCCCTGTCGTTATTTTTCTGTTGATTTTACACAGCTGATTCTCCGTCGCAGAGCTCGACTGTCCCAAAAAATATGACCATGTGCTTCTTCAAGCCTAATTCCGTTGACATAATCGAAGTCGCGGGGTCATATGCTTGTCATGTATGGCCAGAGTTCAGGTTCATTCTCAGTCCAACTGTAATGTTTGCGCCACTCAGCCTTTTAATTCTTCTTTGGAGTTCTACTGGGGATCTTGAGAAAATGAAAATGTCTTAGGCAAGCCGCAGACGGCTTCAGTAGTGCCCATTTATGTTCATCTCCTGATTTTTGAAACGGAACGCATTGAAAACTTATTCTAGGGGAGCTGTGCATATCTTCGGTAAGCTTGCATTGCCCTTCTGACGCGCTCTGGATTTTCAACTTGTTTGTGCTTTCGTGAAGCTTCACACTAGCAGTCACATTCTTGCAAATCATGACGATGAGGTCTCATTATCTATTCTAGAGTCCCTCGTTGTTCGAAGAATCCAGTACAGAACGGATACACTGATCGAAATACTTCTCCATATCGGCGAACCGTTGGAAAAGAGGAAGCTGATATTCGTTTCTTGTCTAAATTAATTGACGAATTCACATGAAAATGATCCCTAGTACTAGATCTACTTCTGCACCCCCATTGCTGCAGCAACAAACATCGCCTAAATCATTCTGAGAAACCAAAGCATCAAAGCCATCAAACATCATTAATCTGGATACTCGGCCTTTAACCCCGGAGCCTCAGGTAACGATGAGAAAAACAAAAAAATTTCTGAATCCCGCATGCCCCTTCGACTTGCGGTGTCCAATTTCTCTTGAAGTCGATTCGTCATTACCTCTGTTAAGATCTTGTACATGACTTACAATAAATTGATTAGTGTGTAATTATTCAAATCCTTCCTGTCTCCGTTTTTGTAGAGTAGAATCATCGATAAGGCATTCCAATCATCAGAGATTTTCAGTTCTTTCAGAAAGCACGCAAACAAGCGCGATAATATATCCGAACTCCACGACTTTCATTGACATGCCATCTTCTTCAGGAGCCATACGTCGCTTCGCCTGTTTTACTACATGTCGAAGCTCTTCAGTCATACACAATTATATAGAAGCGCCAATTCCCGTTTCTAAACAGTCATACCACCGGAACTGAAAACGTACTCTAAATAAGGGAATAAGTCGGTGACTTGAGAATAACGCTATACTGCTAATTAGAGTAACGGTGTCAAACTTTAAGAAACCTAAGGCCATGCCAACATTTAATGCAGAATTTTTGTAGTGGTCAATGGCCTGATGTCAGTGCAGTTATATCCTGTCCTGTACACTGTACCGATGTTAAATACTGATAAGACCAACTGAAAGAATAACCTTTAAAACAGGTAAAGTCACGTGGTAATAACTAACGAAACAAACAAAGCAGTTATCTTTAGAAATTCATACTCATCCAGTGACAACTGTTGAAATGACAAGTTTTCTAGAGATATGTTCTAAAGTGCTGGTTACAGGTACAAAGCTGTACAGACAAAATTCTGTATTCTAAGCCAACGTCTCGATAATAAACAAACTGTATATCGTCAAAGCGCGGTGTTTGCACCCGGGTGATAGCCAATGTAAGTGGTATTCGAAAAGTCGGCTTAGAATAAGAAAGTTGATCGCTACAACTTTGTGCCGTCCAACAAATACTATTCTAAAGAAGCGTTGTCATACGGATGACCAGTGGTCATCGATCATTCAGTCAACTGCAGCTTTTTACCTTAAGTATTCCAAGACCGTTAGAAAAGATCCTCTCTTCCAGTTCTAACAGGTCTTGCCGCAGATGTTCTTCAAGTACGCTGACGGAAACGGTATTCATGACCGACGACGACAGGTGCGTCGTTTCGAGAAACGGTTGAGCGTCAAACTGCTGCAGCAGAGGTGACAACACACCCCTGAAGAACGATATGTTATCAAAAAGCTCCGCTTCTCGAATACCGCGCCGATTCAAGACATCCAACAACGCCTGCAACTGTGATTCGTCGGCGACGAATGACCACTGATGACGGCCATGGGTGCCGTGTACGGCGCATGATGCCTTCATGCCTGAGCAGACCAACAACTCACGCTGGGCTCGGGTGACGTTTGAAATGTCTACTGCGGTCACCTTGTCCAGCGGAGTTGGACATTCACATTCGTCCATAGTTTGGTCATTTTGATTTTCCTCTACGAATACGGTACCAGCCGACTTTATCAGCCAGTACCTTCTGAACGCTCGGTCTGTACCTAATAAAATCATGCCACTAGCGTCCTGCAGTTCGAAAATCTCGGCCACCATATTCGACTCCTCGAGCATGGCGTGTTTCTCCTGCAGTTTTCGTACCAGCTCGATCTCACTCATGTCCAACTGGTCGAAATTCACACACTCCAACATTTCGTAGTCGATTTGCACCCCTTCGGTGGTCGAATCTTCCGAAGCCTCGACCAGCGCTCTTAACGACTCCTTCAGTTTACGAGTCGCGGCGCTCGGCGAGTTAACAGCAGTAACGGTATTCATGTTACTCGACGCCTCCGCAGCGGAAGTTCGGTCAATGGTGGATGCCTTGTCGGCTATGGCCATTTTGGCAACGAATGCTTCGCGCTCATTGCGTTGCTCCGTCAACTGACTTTGTCTGAGATCCGCGCGAAGAGACCTGATCTTGTCCAACTTGGTTTCC